CATGCCATTCTTCTTGTTCAAATTTATATGAATGGAATTATCTTTGGTGCTACTAATGAATCTTTGTGTAAGGATTTTTCTAAAATCTTGCAAAGTGAATTTGAAATGTCTATGATGGATGAGTTTCATTACTTCCTTGGTCTTCAAATTCATCAAATAAAGGACATAATTTTTTATAAATTAATCAAAATAATTTGAAGAGTTTCTCAAAATATTTGGGATGCAAAGTGCCAAAGATATATCAACTCCCATTAGAACGTAATGTTACTTAGAAAAATGAGGGATGAAAGACAATAAAAGAAAGTAAATATAAATGTATGATTGACTCCTTTTTTGCTTACTGCAAGTCACCCTGATATCTTGTTTAGTTTTTACATATGTTCACATTTTCAAGCAAATCCCAAAAAAATCACACCTCGCTGGCACACAACACATGGGTTTATAGTATCCTAAAAGGACAAATTTCACTTTGGTTGGGTACTTAGATTTAGATTATGCAGGATATAAAATGGATCAGAAAAGTACTAATGGAACTTGGCATTTTCTTGATAATTTTATTGTTCATTAGCATAAAAAACATGCAAGTGTTACATTATCCATAACAAAAGAGGAATATGCCGCTGCAGGTATTTGTTTGTGAAAATAATCTAGATGAAACATCAGTTAAGTGATTGTAGTATTAATCTCAAAATTGTCCTGATTAAGTGCCACAACACTAACATCATAAATCTCACAAATAATCAAGTACTTCATTTTGGACTAAACACATTGACATTAGACATCATTGTGCACTGGTCAAAAAGTACAGGTGTGCATGTTCCCCTGCAAAAGCATGGAGACTTAGAGACCTTAGTAGGTTTATAATACACTTTGTTGTTGAGGGTTCACCCACAATGGTGAGAAACCCTGTGCGGTGGTGTCTTGGAGTTATTTACAAGAACTACTCACCTGAGGTAAGAGTCTCTATTGATGGCCGCTGGTGCTTGGTGGCAAGCGTATAATCGCCAGTGGTAATCTATTACGGCAGTAATGAGCGCAATGCTCTTTAGGGTGTAGAGAGTGTGTATTCTTCCAGGTTCGCATCTCCTTGAGAGGATATGCATTTATATAAGTCACTAGGACCTAGGTTTTCCTTAGAAATGACCACCACCCACTTATTCAATAGTTGACAGTTGAATCCATGTTTTCTAAGGAGTCATGGGTCTATTAATGACCTTGACTTTCTCTTTGTCCCATAAATGTCTTATCCACCGTTTCCCCATATAAGGGCGAGGGAATACTGCAGGGCGAGGTGATACCTCCTCTTGGCCAACCTTCTATCCTCGCCTCTTGTAGAGCGATCAAAGCGCATCACCTTATGGGAGGCCTTTTGTAAATATAACACTATAAATCATGTTCAAAAGAGGGGGGGGGGGGGGGGTATTGATTGAGTTTATGGAATCATATAATCAACTTGCATATATTTTTACAAAACATTTATTCAAAGAAATTTTATTTTTATAATAATTGAATAAGGTATTTTAAATCAATCATGCATTAAATGATCTTCTATATACATCTACCTCTTACTTTTTCTATCATCTCCTTTTCACGTTTTTTTATTATGCTAGAGGGAGGGGGTATACTCTTACAGGAGTATCTTAACATTTGTCCGGGGAGCTAAAACTCTTTTTCTTATATGTCTAACCATCTTGTTAAGACACACTTATGAGATCTTTTTCCATCAAGAGATGCTTCTTCTCTTGTACTTGTAAGATATAAAAGTTTCAAGTTGAATCAGTGTTAAAAACTTGGCGTAAAGGTTGTAAGTTAAACGTTTGTTAAAATATTTGTTGATATTAAAAATCTCAAGGTGCCCTTATCAAGGACTAAACTAGACATAGGTCACATAGTTTTGGCCAAATTAGGATAAACTTTGGTGTGTTCTTTCTTTTCTTCCTTATCTCTTTAATTTCTAGGTCTTTATCTTATATCTCGCTCCCCATCTTCTTTATATGCAAAATCTTTTTGAAAATCTTTTATATATACATTTGACTCCTTTTGTGTTTGAAGTCACTTATTCAACAAAATGATTGCACGAAATATAACCAAAGACCTTTAGGGAGACATTCAAAATCAAAGGGAGTTAAAGATGAGAGAAGTCAGTGAATGATGAGATTCATTCACTAACGAAGAACCATGCTTGTAGGCTTGTGAGACTGCCTAAGAAACAAAGGATGGTTGTGTAAGTGCCTAGATAAAGGTTCAAGTAATTTTTTTTAATAATAATTCAAATTTTTTAGAGGGTAGCAAAATGGTTGATGATTAAATTGATATCAATGTCGCTTTTGAGTCAAGATAGTAAATTACGGAAGTACGTCTCAAACTCTCAAGTAATGAACAAAAAAACATTTTTAAGAATTATTTTCTTTTTCTGGCATGGTGACACGATGGAGTTGCAAAGGCGATGGTTTGCCAAGAGTGCCAAAAGCTAGCATTAGCCATTATCACAAAGGTTCTTCAACGAAAGTCGAGTGATAGCCAGTGATTATCGGGCCATATGCTACTTGGGCTTCTGGGTCATTTTGGTTCCAAATTGAATTTCTAGAGTTTTGACATTTATAAATATGGTTAATGCTTTGAAGAGTATGAAAGAAAAAGAGAAAATAGGTTAATTCTAGTAAGAAAAACTTAAAATATTTGGTAGAAATTCATAAGATTTATTAAACTTAAAATTTAGATACATTTGTAGGATAATTAAGAAACACTTCTAAATACTTTGAATTTGTAGATTCATCTTTTGTATTATTTTTGTTATGCTTACATTATTTAGCTTATTAATTTATTTTGTCTCATTCATAATACTTTGAATTGTAAATTCATCTTTTATATTATTTTTGTTATATATGCTTACACTATTTAGCTTCTTGATTTATTTTGTCCCATACATAATACTTTAAATTTGTAGATTCATCTTTTATATTATTTTTGTTATGCTTACACAATTTAGCTTATTGATTTATTTTGTTCCATACATAAAAAAATTCTTAATGTAAATTTTGTAAAATAATATTTATCATATAAACATATTCTCAACAAATCCTTTAGAATCAAGTGGTTGACAATGATAAAAATCAAATTAACTAAAAATGACTGAAATCGAATTCTTACTTTTAAATAGCTAAACTTTTTTCACACTTCAAAATCAGAGCTCCTAATTTTCCCAAAGCTAAAAAGAAAAAGAAAAAAACAACACCCCACACCCAAATTGATGATTTCTTACACTTCAAAATCAAGTCTAGGTATTCTCCATCTAGGATAAATTCCATTTAATCCTTTTAGATTTATGGATGTAAAACATGTGGCAAAAAATAAATTAAAGGTCGAGATTTAAAATTAATAATTTTTTATTTATTTAATAAAAAGAAAAAGAAAGAGAAAAAAATCATGTTCTCTCTTCCCTCTTTCCTCCCGTTCTAACTTCCAGCATTTCATCTTCTTCTTTATCACCATTTTTCTTCTCAATGTTTTCTCTTTCTTATTAAGTGTTTAGAGACTCTTATGATTTTTTTCTCTTCATATTCTCCACATATCAAACTTTCACCTCCATCAGTCATTACCGTATCACCGCAATTAAATATCATAGTTTTGCCATCACTGACGGGTATCATTATTTCATATCCCTTATCGTTGTTACTGTTTTGTTGAAGGTATTATTATCTTTCATTCCAACTTTAATTTTATAATTTACTTAAAATTCAGTTTTATGTTTTTATTAGTCTACTTTATGAGAATTATATGTTATTATAAGCTACTGTCCTTGTTATTACATGAAACTTTTTTGTAATATGAATTATTTTTATGATTTTGGAGTTCTTTTCAGATTTATATTGTTATTAGTTATTATTTTAGACAATATTTTTTAGTCATTTTGATTTTTTTTCAACTATGGTCGTGCAATTTTTTTAGTTTTATACTGTTATTAGTTAGATATGTTGTTGTTATTACTTCAGGAAATTTTCTTACTTTATTATATTTATTTTAATTTTATTGTTTTACAAACATCATGACTGTACTTTTTCAGGAAATATGAATTTATCACCAATTCCAAATTGTGTTGATAAATGGGTGAACAATATTCATGAACAAAGTATGGAACAAAACCAAGAAAGTATTGGCAGAACTAAACCTCACTTGGGAATGAAGTTTCTATCTGAAGCAGAGGCTTATGAATTTTATAATAAGTATAATAAAAGAGTTGGATTTGGTATTCGCTGAGAATATTCAAATAAAAGTGAATAGATGGAGTTTTGACTTCAAGAAGATTCACATGCTTCAAAGAGGGTGCACGAGTTATTGATAAAAGACGCAATCCGACGGGAGAACCTAGAGCAAAAAACCGAACGAGATGTCTAACGTGTATGGTTATTTCACTTGATCGGAAGATTGAGAAATATAAAGTTGTTGACTTTGTAACTCAACATAGCCACCTTCTTATGCCGCAAGAGTATGTTCTATGATTTGCTCTCATTGACACATATTTGAGGCACAAGCTTCATAAATTGTCATGGGAGAAGAATCACGATGAAGACCAAAAGATTTGTATGAAAATATATCTAGGAAATATGGTGGGATAAAGGTTGTTGGTTTTACCAGACAAGACCTGAAGAACTTTCTTAAAACCAAAAGGAAACAATCACTAAAATATGGTGAAATGGGTGCACTGATAATATATTTCAAACAAGAAGGTGAAAATCCCTCATTCTTTTGTGATTTTCAAATGGATGTTGAAGAATAAATAACTAATATATTTTGGGCGGATGCACATATGATAAATAATTATGGGTACTTTGGTATATCTTCACTTTTGACACCACATACAAGACAAATAAGGATTGTCGACCGTTGGGAGTACTTGTTGGACTTGATAATCATAGGCAAACAATCATTTTGGGGCAGCATTGTTATATGATGAAATAATACCTTATTTTCAGTGGTTATTTGAAACATTTCTCAAAGCAATGGTCCATGAAAATCCTAAAACCATTCTAATCGATCAAGATACTATAAGGGCTAAGGCTATTTCCTTGGTTATGCCAGAAACTTTTCATGGATTGTGCACTTGGCATATAAGACAGAACGCTTTAAGGCACATAAATCATCTATATCAAAAGAGTTCACATTTTGGTTTAGATTTTGAAGCATGCATAAATTTACATGAAGAGGAAGGTGAATTTTTGAATGCATGAAATTATTTATTTGTTGAACATAATGTTTTGGAAGATTCGTGGTTGCATACGATTTTTCAATTTAAGAAAAAATGGGCATGGACTTATGTTCGAAAAACATTCACTGCAAGTATGAGATCTACTCAATTAAGTGAAAGCTTTAATGCTGATTTGGAAAACCATTTGAAGTCAGATTTAAATTTGGTACAATTTTTTACACTTTGAGACACGTGACATCTTATGTAGTCACACTTTGAAAGTTTTAGATGTCATGAACATAAAATTAATTCTGGAACACTATATACTCAAGAGATGGGCAAGAGGTGCAAGGTTGGGAAGTAATCAAGATTGGGATAAAAGGCATGTTAAATTAGACATGAAAGCACATTTCATGAAGCGATACAATGAGTTATGTTCTCGAATGATCAAATTGACCAACAGAGCTTCGGAATCTCATGAAACTTACACGTTTTTGTCCAAAGTGTATGAAGAGTCGAGCAAAACAGTTGATGATATGTTAGCAAAAAAATATGTGAATGGAGAATCAAATGGAATGGTTCATGTACCCATATCAATTGCAAATGATGAGATTGGCAACGTCGACATCGTTGGTATGGCAAAAGGCATAAAGAAGCGAGATGGTTCACGTAATAACAAAAAACGAGATAAGTCTTGGGTTGAGAAATTAGCTAAAAAGTCAAAGAGATACTCATAAAAAAAAAGATAATGAGCTCTCAAGAAAATTTAGTACAATCGTTACCGGTAAGTATTTGTTATCAATTTATTCAACATTTTTAATTTTATCATCTATTTATTTATTTTATTATTATGCAGCAACAAACTTCAATCCAATCAATTCATATTGACAATGGAATTCAATATCAAGCTAACTTTCAAGCAACACAATCTAGTCAAATTGAGAATGGAACTCAACACCAAGCTACTATCCAAACGACACAATCAAGTCAAATTGACACATTGAGATTTCACAACTTCTTTTAAACATATAATGTCTAAGTATTTTGATGTATTTGTTAGACTTATGTATTGATTTTTTCTGTGTTTTTGACATATTTGTTTTTATGTTGGTTTAAATATAAGTAATATCTTCCTTTTCTTTGTTAAAATTCAACTCTAATTTTTTAAAAAGAAAATCTTTGTTCCAAATGAAATATATAATTAAGAAGTAAAGAAAAATATTCATTATTACTGTAATCATGTGATTTTTGTTGAATTAGAGTAATGACAATGCTGTGATTGCCAACAACATTAATTTTTGTCAAATTCCAGCGACAATGTTGTTATTGTAATGCTGATTATAACAAATTTACAGAGGCGAAACTGTTTGTCGGTAACGCTGATTTTTGTCAAGTTCTGGCGGCGATGCTGTATTTCAGTGGCAATTTTGGTACTTTAAAGATGATTACAATAACAAATTTACAGAGTTGAACGACGATGCGGTATTTTGGCGGCGATTTTGTTACTCTTACATTGATTACAACAACAAATTTATGGAGTTGAATTGAATTAAATTGTTATTGAAGATAGGACAATGGTTAACAATGTTGATTGCCAACATTACAATAATGTATAAATTTTGACAAGAAAGTTACAATAATGTATAAGTTTCGACGATAAGATTATGATAATTTATGAATTCTGGCGGTAGAGAAGAAATAAAAAGAGAAGGTAAAAGGAAATAAGAGGAAGAAAAATGGTGTAGAGATGAGATAAAAAGAGAAAGGTGAAAGAAAAAAAATGTTGCTGAGAGTTGGAAGTTGAAATGTGAAGGAAGAGACGTGATCTCTCTCTCTCTCTCTCTCTCTCTCTCTCACACACGCGCACACACGCACGCACGCACACGCGCACATACACATACACACACACACATACACACACACGCGCACATGCACATGCCCACACACACACACACGCACGCACGCGCGCGCACACACGCACACACACATACACACACACAAATTGATGATGTTTTATGTAGTCATGCATCTTCATCTTCAGCGTAAAGAAATTTTACACGATTGTGTATTGAAAATTTTTCAATATATCAAATCATCCAAATTATTTTAAAATATAATGTAACAGAATATATATTATATATTAGATAACACCATAAAATAAATTTACATTGTCAATATATATCTTATCTTCTCATATTTTATTACTTTAATTTTTAGCTTTCCTCTACCACTAATTGCTTTCTCATTTTTAATCATTACCTTTTTGTTAAGTTTTAGTTAGAAGCTTCTTCTACACAATTTAATACTAACCCAAGTGGTATCATCATGTCACACTAGTTTCTTGTAATGATGGAGTTGTCTTTGGGAATATTCATCACTTAAACATAATTAAAATCCTAATTGACAAAACATGGAAGAAAAATATGAAAAAATCATGAACCATTTGGACTAATAAAATGAACTCTAGAATACAATGAGATTATTATATAATGATGTAGCCTCTTTTTTATTATTATTTAGTGGTTCTAACTACTAAATCATTATATTAACTAAATTATTGTCCTATGTTTAGGTGAAAGTGGTTATACCAATGTCATTATAGATTTAAAATAAAAGAAATTCTCTTTATGTCTATCTGAAGAATATTTTTTGCAGACGACTTTAGGAACATCCTAGGAACTTCTTAGTATCAAATGCAAAAGAAGAGAGGCAGCAATTATTAATGTATTAGTTATATCGGTCTTTCCTAGGATGAAATTGAATTAATTCTACAAACAAATGTTGATTTAGTTTTTTTTTTTTTTTTTTTTTTTTTATTTTTTATTTTTATTTTTCTTTAAGATTTAAAGATGAACTTCTTCTTATTCTTATTTTATGAATAAATTAAAATTTTATTTTTCTTTAATTTTTTTTTTGTCTTAAAGCCCTTGTTTGAACTACTTAATTTTTAAAATGGTCTTATTAATGGAATAATTTTTCTGACATTTTCGTTGTATTTGATATTTTCACATATTTTAAAAATGTCAATTTTACTCTTATAATTTACTTCTTACAAATTTTTAAAAAATATTCTCCATGAATTAGTATAAACTAATAAATCATTTTTTCAAAATAGTTTGAGTTTAACCAAATATTTAGAGAAAACAAAATATCTTATATGTGTTTACACCTTAAAAATCTTGATGTGTATTTTCATGGACACCATATTTATTAATATTCGGAGATTAAATTTTATAGGCTATTTTTCTCCTTTTCATGTAAGGTGAATTCGATATTACATTGATACTTTTTTATGGTTTATAATGGTTTAAAACTTATATGAATATGCTTCTTGCGATCTTAGAAAACCGTACACAAAACTGAATCAATAGTTTTATCTTGCTTTCATTTACTCCCAACGTTATGAACCATCTATATGAATTCAGAGTTGATGAAAATACCACTTTAGTGAATCTAAAATCCAAGCTCGAGAATCTTTTAAACCGCAATAATGATCAAAGAGAGGTTAAGATTGTTTATCTCTCCCAACCATAATCAGCAGGCAATATGATCTCGGTACTCTGTCAGCATTGTCAGGCATGTGGGACTTTATGGAAACCCTTATATTGTGAGGCTTTGATGATCGTCAATTTGATCGTGTTTAGTGATCACTGTATGATCGGACACCTCAGGACGTGCCTCTGTATCAACATAATCATGATCGCACATAGAAGGTGGGAACAGGCCAAGCAAGACTAGGATTTAAAAGGCCCAAGTCTGGCCTAAAATAAGTTTTTAAGTCCCGAGTCTGGTTTATGGTCTATTATATGTTTTTTTTCCTGGTCTGGCCTTAAAAAATATGGTCTTACCTGAAGTCCTATTTAAAAACATGTTTCACATTAAGACTTTCAATTACTTTGTTTTACCTTTTTTAAAATTATATATTATACTGCCTTTTATATTTTTTTTTGACTATTTTCTAATAGATATGCATATATAGGCCAACCTATCAGGTTTCATAGACTTTTTTAATATCATAAGTGTGAGATATTGGATCGAACTCTAGTTAGCATGTCGTTGAAGTTTGCTCGCATGCTGTCGTCGAAGACGTACATGCTGTAGTCGAATTGTGTTCTAGTACGTAGTTGTCGAATTGGGCCTTGTGTTAAAGATCCAATTGTTTAACTTAGCTTGTACCCTAAGTTAGCTTCTAATGAATAATTGTTAAAAAGCCCATTAGTTTAGTATGTTAAGTTTTATTATAAATAACATACTAGTCTTTCATCTTAAGTGTGATGTGATAAAATCTAATTAGGGTGAGAGGGTTATTTGTTATTCTTGAGTACTTGTAATATGTTTTTTTAGAGAAAGTAAAGAATATCAGTTATAACCAATCCTTATTGTTCTCATTGTTTTTCCTTAACTCTAACTCTTGTGTGTTTCTTGATGATAAAGAAATCGAGTATATTTTGTTTTAATGCATCCTAATTCACAACAAATTGGTGCGGTGAGCGTGGAGAAGATGCCTTCAACAAAGTATGAGATTGAAAAGTTCACCGGAGTGAATGGCTTCGGTCTGTGGCGCTTGAAGATGAAAGCCCTACTAGTTCAGTAGGGTTGTTTGGAAGCGTTGAAGGGAGAGGTAGCCATGGACGATGCGTTAACGGAAAAAGAAAAGACGACCATGATAGAGAAAACCCACAATGCAATATTGTTGAGCCTCGGTGATAAGCTTTTTCGACAGGTATCAAAGGAGACTACGACATCGGGATTATGGTTGAAACTTGAAAGTTTGTACATGACCAAATCTCTGGTGAATCGACTCTACCTGAAGCAAACTTTATATTCATTCAAGATGAGTGAAGACAAAGTGTTGGTTGAGCAGTTGGATATATTTAGCAAGTTGATTATGATCTTGAAAATATTGATGTGAAGATCAATGATGAAGATCAAACACTGTTGTTGTTGTTGTATGCTTTGCCTAAAACACATGATCACTTCAAAGAAACTCTCTTGTATGGAAGGGAGTCTCTAAGGGCCTGAACAAACAAAAGGAGCATAAAC